TTCATACATAGAACTGTGCTGTTTCACCTCTTGTCACAGTAAGATGCTCATTTATCATCCAGGTGGTCTTTCCTAAGGAATCTTGTTCAGATTTCATTTTACCACCGAGGGGATGGACACAACATTTTTTATGACTCCATTTGTAAAGGAAACAGGCTTTTCATTTACATTCATAACATTTCTCTTCTCAAATGCTGAAAAATCATATGAATAGCTTTATTTATACATTACAGAGATTTTTTTTTAAACAGACCTTGAAATAAGGCTCGTAAATAACTCTTCTGACAGTTATACATGAATCTTTTATTTTTTTTCTGGCTTAGCAGTGTTAGGTAAACTGTTTATAATGAATTTCACATAGATAAATTAAATAGAACAAGAATGTGAAAGTCTAGATCAAGGACTGTTAGTTATCTTTCTTCACCTGCCATAAGAAATCTCCCAAAATATATTAATAAATTCATGGGTTTCTTGAATTAAATCACTAAATTATGGAGCTGTGAAAGGGACCCTCGGAGAACATCTGGCTTAGCATGGTGTTTCCAAAGAGCACTGCCTTACAAACCATTTAGGATATGTGGGCTTAAAGTCCTCCAGGGAATGAAGAAGCATTTATAACCTTCCTTGAAAGCCTTTCTTGACAGTTGTTATGTAAGGAGTGCTATAGAATTGATTATCCTGTGAAAACGCATCTAGAAATTATATGGAAACCAGAAAAATCAAGACAGCAATATTCCTTCTTTCAGTATAAGATATGAAGTAAATATAAAATAAGTTAGTCTTAAGCCCACTTTAAGAAGTAATAGCTTTTCGTGTATAGAATACGTATTTCATTTATGTACCCAACTATCTGGCTCTAATAAAAATATTTCCACCTGAAAGAAAAGTCTGTGTTTAGGATCCTAATCATATGATATGAAGAGTGTTTAGAGTTCCTTAAAAACTCGCATTCACACCGAAACCAAAAATATAGTCAAGACCTCTTCAGTTTCCTCTATTTAATTCCAGCCTTTTCTTGCTGATGTTTTTGTGAATGAATGAATGAATGAATGAACAAACAAATAAATAAATAACCCCTGTATTTGGGACCTATAGGCAGAAGGAAAGACTGTCTTCCAGATGAGAGTCTGTGGGAGCTTAGCCGAGTTGCTTTGCAGCCTTTGCTGATGCGGGGAGGAAAAGGCTCAATGGGGAGCTGAGTGAGTTAACTCCCCAGCACTCTCACCTGTGCCCCTCCACTGCCTGGGCCTCAGGCCCTCTCTCATACAGGGGGTCATGCTGGGGAACAGAGAGGGCTCAGGGCCCATCCATCACACCACGGAGCAGGTACCCAAGTCGGATGGTCATCAGCATCCTCTCCCTACTAGCAGGACAGTGGATTAAACACTGTGCAGATGACATGGAAGGAGAGAGAAGAATCTTAGGTGGTTGACAAAAATGGGTTTTCTAGATAACAGAAATGTATTCTTTTAAATGTCAAAACATTTAAAGAATGTTAGTCATTTGTGAGTAGAAATCGCCCCAAACAGTTTCCTTGCCTTCATAGTTTGAAGGAGGATGCTTTATACCACTGAAACTCTTTTACCCTGGTTAGTTAGCATTGATTAAAAGAGCATCTTCACGATCCGCCTGTATATTTAGCATTGCCTCAGGTTACGGGCTCCATTAAAATCCCGACTAACAGAAATATGCCCTAAGGAGGAGGGCTAGGATGGTAAAAGGATCTAAAAATAAAATCAACTGTGCTCTTAGTAATGCTTGACAATCTTATTCTACTTCCCTTGCCCAGTTTCCTCTTCTCCTAGGCCAGGAGTTGACAAACCACAGCCTACTGCCTGTTTTTATAAATGAAGTGTCACTGGAACATGGCTGTGCATATTCATTTACACGTTGTCTCTTGCTGCTTTGGGGCTAAAACCGCAGAACTGCAGAACGGGGTAGTTTCAGCAGAGACCCCATGGCCCACAAAGCCTAGAATATTTACTCTCCGGCCCTTTCCAAATAGAAGTTTTCCAGTGCTTGCAGCTGAAATGACTATTGCGTGCCTTCCTTCCTCATACCTCCGGCATCTTCTCCAAGAACCACAATTCTTACTGTCAGCTAATAACTTCACTTCTTATTTTTCTGAGAAATAGAAGCCTCAGAAAAGAATTTCCACATGTCCCCACCACCAAATATGCCAACCTACCTGCATATTTACCCCACTCTTCACTGTCCCTCCTGTTCCACTGGATGAAATATTCATATTCATGTTTCTGCCCAAGGTTAGATCTTTATCCTTCCTTTTCTACTCAAGAACATTACTCTTGAAAATGCTCCCTTTCCCTCCTCATCATTGAATTTCCTTCTTTACTGGGTGATGTCTAGTGAAGGTAAATACACTGGAATATCCCTCATATTAAAA